AAAGGAAACACCCTTCGAAGGAAATACTTTTGGAATGGTGTCTGATAATTTTACATTGTATCTTGGAAAGCACTTATTAAACTTCTTTATGATGTAATCAAATATTCAGCTATAAAGTAAAATCATAATTAAGTCTAAGTAAAACCTTTAAGACGTAGTTAATACAATTATTACGTTACAAATAATACTTTAAAGCGTGACAGATTTTGTTGATTGTATTAAACCAAGACGTGAAATAAAAGATTATTGTAACGTATCAAATTTAATTAGTCTCCTCAATTGAATCCTATAAGTACACTAAGTATACTAATTCTTACAATTTTCATGTTATCGCCGATAAATTGCGGATGATTTTGGCAAAGAGGAGTATTTTTTATTTTACTTGGTGGACGTATAAAAGCATTTATACTGACATTTATTTGTGAATAGATTAATCTTATTTATAACAGTTTCTCGACATCAAGTCTCGTACGGTTTAGAATAAATGAACTCCCACTTGTAAGTGATAGACAGCAAAGCCACACTTATCAATTCTAGCTTCTTTAAATTACTCATCAAGCAAATCCCCAATGTTTGATCACTTATAATCGATTGTAATTACAGCAAGATGTTAGTGATAGTTATTTTTATATTGCATCTTTTTGCGTAAATAATGATATGTATAAACTGAATAATTGTATTTAATAACTATTGCTTACGTCGTGTATGTTCGATTAATATTTTAGTGTCGACAAAAATGTGAGAAGGATTGAACATGGATTCGAGCAATACTAGAACATGGATTCGAGCAATACTAGGGTCATGCTCAAGTTTTCTTATATAAGTCCCGGATAGGTCCAATAACGTGATGCCTTCTATACGTTTAACTATCAGCTATATCAATTTTTTTTGTAAAATACTTGTGAATCCAATGCTAAATATTAAATACGACGTAATTAAAGCTTCGATAATATATTCGGATGTTGCATTTGGTTATTTGTTGCCGATTAAATATAATGAATATATATTAAAATGCATTTGACAACTAACAACTACAACATGCACGTACACAATAAGACAATTTGTAAGCATTATATTTACAGACTGTTGTCTAAAGAAATTTATATTATTAAAAGTAAAGAAACAAGAATCATTCTAAAAAATCTATTGTTGGATTTTAGGTCACACCAACACATTAAAGGCCATATTGCAACTTTCCTTTTCTAGCTGTACCGATGGCGGAATATCTTAGGTGAGCTTCCGTGCCTTATTTCAAGCACGAACGAGCACCTAAGTAGAACCACCGACCTGAATAGCTTCCTCCTATGAACAAATTGTAAATCCCTAATTAACAGTATTTCAAAAATCTTTCTTAACTTTAACTTGTTTGTGGTATTTGTTTCGTATTTAAAGTTTAAATAACATAAAGAATTTGTAAAGATTAAATACATTAAAGTTACATTTAATAAATTTCATAAAAACAGAAATAGCGACATTTCATTAATAAATTGTGTTTCAAATTGACTCCAGGTCTTATTTTGGCGTCGAGACAACCAAAATGAGTTTTATGAGCATACAAATGTGCAACCTCATTGTGGCGAATTCGGAAGTACAATTTTGGTTTGCATGAGAAACTCCGCCTTCAGATCATGCGTACATAGAAGTCCTAATTTAACGGTGAATTTCCGCATTGTAACGGACATTTTCATACAAATTTAATCTTTTTTTATGAGATGATTATTTTTTCTGAGCACCGTGAAGCTTTAACGGTTAAATTGTGTTTGCACAAGAAAATCGTATATTTGCTGTGTTCCGGATAGCAACTATTACACCGTGACGTAGCGCATACACGAGCTGATTATAGTCTTCATTTGCATGTTAAAATTCGTATACGAACTTTAGTGTTAACGTGGGGTTTTCCATTTAAAATCCTAATTTATGAACAGTATTTGATGAGATTTGTAACGATACTGTTAAAAGGGTTAATGAAACTGTAGTATGCTTGGTTTTTAGGCCGAAGGTAAAAAATAGTACATATTTATTTAATGTAGCTTTAAAAAGCGTGAATGATTATGCCCAGAACAGCAAAATTGAAAATGTTGAAGGCTCTTGTAACTCAATATATCAATTGTACGTTAATTATACACAAACATCATTTATTTTATTGTTCATTTATTTAATATAAAGAAAATTTGCCCTTATATTTTCACCTCATATAGATAAGAGTCATTAATGGAGACATATATAGATAACAGTAAAATTTTATTAAGTGTTTCGGAATAAAAATGATCGGATTGTTACAAAAGTATCACTGTGGAAGCAAAATAGTTTTGTGCATATTGCTTTTAGGCAAGTTACCATGATTTTTGTCGTTTATAATAAAAGTGTGTATTACTGGTTGCCGATTGTGCGTTTTATGTAGACAATAAGGTGTAAAATTAAAATATATAAAGAATAGAGATGCACAAAAATATCTGTCAACGCTATACAACTGATAATGCACTCGGCGATAGGAACAATACAAGACCGGGCAGGTGTGGAGGTTATGGAAGACGGATCAACTATTTTTCTTTCATTTTTCTATTCTATCGATAATAGTTTGCAACTTTGATGATTTTGTCTTAGTTATATTTTAAAAATGTTGTATTCAACTCAAATACAAGTTACGGTTGTACACTCCTTACATATTACCTCCACTCTCTCTAAATATCTTTATAAAATTACTTTCAATTACATTAAAATTGATATCCATTGGTTCAAAACCCAGAAAGGTCCTTTTGTCTTCACTATCACTTTTAACGTAAGTTTTGCATGTCTCATTTAAAGAAATAAAGCCATATGTGTTTTGCTAGCTGTTTTATAATTATCTTGTTACGAAAATTATTTCCCCTTGCGGCTGAGATGGGGTTGCCTTAGACATTAGAATGGCAGCCACCGTTTATCTATCCGTTACTGTATTACAGGCGACTAAATAGTTTTGAAATACTTGAGTCTATGCATTCCTTAGCTCAAACAGGTGATGTGGGTTTAACCCCTGGTGATGCTTATAGTTTAACAACCGAGGTAAGTCAAACTCGCCTTTCCTGTTTTGGCGCCATATGCCCTAAATTTCGTTGGTGTCGTTGATGGTAGGTATTTTCTCAATCCCCACCCCCTTTACCATTTTTACACCCCCCACCCCACCTTTTCACATTTACAGCTCTTATCCCTTTAATTCCTATATTGGCCCGTTTCAGTTTATATTATTTCACATTACATGTCCCACTCCTTTCACCCTTTTGTCAACTCCAGGTTTCTGTTTGGTGCCTTCTGGGTGCCCTACTTGAGTGTGTCGGGTGGCAGCGTCGTTGCCTTTGCCTTGTTGATCTTTATTAATGTTCTTTTAACAAAAACAAAACAAACAAACGAAAAACAACAACAGAAAAAGAACACTATTCCAAGTTTTCAAAGTCTGTATACTTTCAAACCCCTTCAGTTTAATGTGTTTACAATATATACGTTATATCGTCGAAAATAATTATGTTGTTTGTTTTCCACAGGTGTGCAAAAATCTGCAGCAGAATGTCCAAATGGATGGACAAGATTTAATGATTCCTGTTATTCCTTTGGACACCATGATGTTACTTTCTTGGAAGCAACAGAAAGTTCTAGTGTAGCTTCGTCATTTATTGTGTCATATTACCATGGTTATACACGTATTAAGGATTCTTATGGTTATATCACAAATAATAGATAATAATTGCTAGCAAAATGTAAATTTACTGACTGATACCTTAGTAATTGTTTGATTAACATTTGTCCGTCATCATCTGCTCATCTGTCAATAACTTTAGTATTACTTACTTGGTTATAATTTTCTGCTTGTTGCACATCCTATATGTATAAAAATATATATAAAAAATATCCAGTGGTTTTGTGCACCTAAAATAGAGAAAACAACACTAAAGAAAGCCCAACACGACAAAGTTGAAAATGTGGCAGACTCGGTTTGATTGAGCCTGTTCATGGATGGTACTAGAGAGTGTAAGTTACCATCCATGCACCCTAATACCGGTTAGAGTATTGTATTGATATAGAGGTTCCAAATACTATTCAAAAGTTGCAATATGTTTGTATAGGTTTTGATGTTAAGAAACACTGACTTATACGCTGATGATTGTTTATAAAATTATTTGATGAAGATGAGATGGATGAGAAGAAAAGATTGCATCTTTAGATTAAGCGGAAAAAAAATCTAGTTTAGTTTAAAATAACGAGTTTGCATTACAAAATGTACATAATGCAACAATAGAACATTTCGCACTTTAGTTTTGCCTAAAAATATTTTGTGTTTTTTCATTTACCTTGAATTCTTGAAAAGAATTGATCCATAATAGTAGGTCTATAATATTGATTATGTTGATGGTATTCAATATCGAATATGACAACCAACAAAACTATACAAAACATAAACGTGTGTTATTCTTGGGTGTTGTTCTGAAGTGTGAAGCACATGATCCGACACGATGAATTGTTCTTGTACAAAATAGTAAAATAGTACATTTCATCATACAAAGTTTCATAGCCAATTACCATGAAATACCTATATGAACATTTTAATGCTATATTATAATTCAAATAATAGATTGTTTTTGACACTTATTTGATTGAATACGTATGGAATATGTTACCATCGTTGGCCAATTCACTTTAATTATTTTAAATTTATTTATTTCAGCGGTTCTGTTCACATTACAACGCATACCTTGTAATCATTGAAAGTGATGCGGAAAACAAATTTATCGCAAGTGTTCTTGAAGAATTAAACAGTGAGTATATTTATTTCATGCTTCCCAGTGTTTTACTGTAATATATCTGACGATCATTTTCCGACAAACCCCTTGTGAAATTGATAAAGAAAAAAATATTTTTTTACCTGTAGCGGGACTATATCTGAATGCGGGTGAAAAGAATATCATAACTAAATAGAATAACAGGCAAAAATAAATGCCGTCATACGTAAATTTTGTTTCTTTAACAAATTGATAGTCAATGTCATCATACATCATGGGAAAAATGTAGCAAAATTAGAGAAACTAAACAGAACTATAGTTCACAATTAATGATATGACGTCAGGATGTGATGACGTTATAAAGGATAATGCGCAATGTTACGCGGCAAAATCAGTAACAAAATACTTAAAAATACTTAAAATTACTTAAAAAGAATGAAACATAAAGAATAATAAGTTGTTATACATAGAAGATTAAAATATATTTGATTCGTGGAAAATAAAAAAAGGATCAGGAACAATAACGAACGCCCTAAACGTCAATATTAAAAACATACTGCATGGTCAGTTTGATTGATCCTGTAGTAGTAAGTACAGTGTATCGTTTATGCTCCCTAGCACCGTAATAAGCATTATTCAACATTTTACATGTTAATGGTGACATTGCATAATTACTATGTAACGCATTTAAGCAAAGATAATAACATTGACGAAATTATATGTCGGACAAATGTACAATTTACTTTCAACATTTTTTTATCTGCGACTTAAAACCTAGGTTAACATACTACAGTGTATATCAGATCATCAAATGCTTGTCAATGTAATCTTTTTCTAGGCAATCGTCATTGGATAGGGCTAACTGACGAAATAGTTGAAGGCACTTGGAAATGGTATAGCACTGATAAAGTTGCCAACTACACTGACTGGTACCCGGGACAACCTGACCTTGGGGGCAGAGCAAATTGTGCAGATATTCTAAGTAGTGCACCATATGCTTACCACTGGCTGGATGATGATTGTACTAGTAAATTCCGTCCGATATGTGAGAGAGGGTAGGCAATAATTTAAGACGTTGCTATCAATATTCGTTTGAGCATAAGTATCAGATATGGTAAAATTATTGTAAATCATCATGGTAGTCATGACGGATCACATTAAGATGTTGACATTCTATAAGTCGACAAGGCATACATTGTTGTGAATCATCATGGGGGTAATACAAATATCGTATAAATGTACAAGATATGTGTAAATTTTACCAGTTATTGAACACAGGCATTGTTATAAGTAGTTCATGAAATTTAAACACACACACTAAAATATTTTGTATTGCTTTCGTCATTTTAATCAATATCTGAGTCGTTTTTTTTTTACTTTACGTCATTGGTTGCTTGTAAATGGAAGAAGTTAAATCAAGTTCAAGCCTGTAAAACACACTCACTGGGTGATAAATGTTATGCAATGTAACTTAAATGTGGCTCAAATACAAATGCCTAATACACCAAAAAAATAAACATGCAAAGCTATAACTTTCGTGTAGCAGGGCAAAAATCATAAACACAATATGCCGTGTGTTCGTGCTTTCAATATTTTTTTAACACAAAATTTTATTTCATGCTTTCCAGTGTTTTATTGTAATATATCAGATGATTATATTCTGATAAACCACTAGTGAAATTTATAAAATATAATTTTCACTGTAGCCGGACTATATTTGAATGCGGATGAAAACAAAATCATAACTAAATGGAATATTAGGCAGAAATAAATGCTGTCATGCGTAAATTTTGCTTCTTTAGGAAAAGAAAGTCGATGTCACCATACATCATGTTGAAAAATATAACAAAATTAGAGAAATTTAACTGAACTATTTTTAAAAAATTATGATGTGACGTCATGATGTGATGACGTCACAAATGATAATGCGCGATGTTACGCGGCAAGATCAGTAAAAATTACTTAAAATCATTTAAAAAGCATGAAATAAAAAGAAAATTTATTTGTTTTACATATACGATTGAAATATATTTCATTCGTGAACACGAGCTATTATATTTTCACTCGTGGCTCTGGTGCATCTGGTGTTCATTCAGTGAAATTATATTTCAATCTTACATGCAAAACAAACAAATATCCTCTATGTATAATTCAGTTATCATATAATATTATCATATTATCATTATATGACAGTTATTCTATATTAAGAACGAGTATGTTTGATTTTTGTTTCAGATTAGACACGGAAACGTCAATCGTCGGAAAGTGATCTATTTTAAGCTGTTCGCTTGGCTCAAAGAGCTTAATAGTATAAGAAATAAAATTGCCTCAGTTTGTTACTTTTTAATTTGATCTTAATGATTTGAGATATTTAACACCATTCAAAGTCATACTTTTGGTGTCAGAATGTTCCTTAAATGAATATCTTCCTTGCTTAAGTGAAGATTCATTGTTATTTCAATTTTATAAACTCTTAAAATGTTTAACGTACCATATAGTATTATATAATATAAAGATATAGATTTCCTATTTTTATAAATTTCTTTCTATCGGTAACATTATAAGGACAATTCTTGTTAGTGTGATACCTTAATATGGACAAGATAAATCCAATAAATTGATGATACTAATGCAATGTTTTAAATGTTAATGAATTAATTAAACTATCAATGAACTTTGTAAAGCCAGTACGGTAACGACAATGGTGACATCATTTCTTAAGTTAACTTGAAATGAAATATTTGAAAATTATTGTCATAATAGTGGACCAGAAAATAACGTTCACCATACACTTCACAACAAGATATAGATCAACATAAACACTGGTTAATTGCCCATCACATGATTTTATTAAGTAATGACTAAACTTTTGACAGTCAATAACAGGTTGAAAAAAGTGAACATTACTAACCTTTTACGTAATTCTAAACAAACGAGAACGTGTCATGCATGTTATTTTTAATACTCATAATAAATTTTTCCTCCATCTCTATAACTCTTTTCTCTAGTTTTCCGTTACCACAAGGTAATCATATATAACAATATGCAGCAAATTTCGTAATGTAGGCGTTTGTTTGTACATCTAAGGACATATAACTTCAAAATAATTAAGTTTAATCATTCTCAAGGGTGTTGTTATTATTTCTGTAACAAGAATGACAACTATAAATTTAAATAAACATGAACAATGGATGTAAAAAGAACAACAAGAAAATATACAACCACCAACGCAATGAATACATTTAGCAATATGATGCAAACACTATTTTAACTATCCATGTAGTTTCCAGTAATAAATTTCTTTTTGTGTGCGTTTGTTTTGGTTTTAGACTCATTAGAAACCTTAAAAATCTAAATAAACCATAAAATAAAACCAGCACAGGGCACAAGACAAAGAACGGGCTGGATGATTACTACCATAATACATAATAGAAACCGACAAGGAAATTAAAGAAACGATTAATTAATAGGGCTACAAATGTAATTGCGTATTGGGAAAGGGGACTGGAAGGTCGGGGAGGGGGCCAAATTTAAAATAAACCAAAAATAGGGACAAAGGGAAGATATAAACCGGAGACAAAAAAGGAGCACAAAAGATGTGTTTATACGGCGGTTATCATGGAACATTCAATATGTCACCATTTTCAATTTTACTATTTGGGCATTCTTGAATAGAATATCTACAGAATATACAAATTTGCAAAATGTTTCAGGCTTGGTTTGATTCAGCACGAAAGTGCAAACCACCGTGACCGACAATGACTAGCACCAGCTTAAGCAGAATTCAACATGAAACATGATGTAGTAACAATTGAAAGTTTGGAAACACGTACGGCAGATATATTCATACGACGGTTATCATGCAACTTCCAATATGGAACGTTTGTGCACATTCATAAAAACGGCGTATGGTCCTCAAAATAATAAAATATGTTAACCTTAAGCGAAAGCATATTTCATGTTAACAATGCATTAATTATCAATCTAAAACTTTTTTACATTCCTTGTTATTTAATTAATCTTTTGTCATTAATGAAAATGACTATATTATGCTAATTATTTGAATGTCTAGACAGTAGCCGAGCATTTTATATATAATTTCTGGTATCATCTCTTTATGACATTTTTACAAAAGACACGAATTCATTCCGTTTCAAAATCCAGATATACAAACAGAAGAGGAACCTGAATGAAAAGAAATGTTCCTTCAGAATAAACCCAAATTAAAATTACATCAAAGGTTAATAGGCGTATGCTTAGTCGTAAGTTATACTCAGGTGCCAGTCTAAGTCCGATATAATGCACGGAGAAGCACCTGAAGCCTGCCACTTCTATTAAAGTTGTCGTGCCCTCTCCAATCTTTTAGTTTGTTGGCCTGCTAGGTATTTTACCAATGTGAATGAGGGTATTGAGGGCTGTGTTCTGGGAACGTAGCCATGCTTTGATAATGTCTCTTGGCGTTACAAAATACTTTACACCCTTGGAAAGTTGATTATGACAAAACATTACTTTACAATTATAGTGTTAATATTTACTCAATAGTATATACGCAATAGCTTTTTTAAGAAGAACGTCGGCGCATTATTTATTGAGCAGATTTTCTGATTGTTTGAAAAGGTGGGTCAAGTATGTTTTGTCCTAGATGTTATAACCTTGTTAATGTACCTATACAGGTATTAGTTTACAGCGGCATTATAAAATCGATTTACGATAAGAACAAGAGAAGCATGGCAATAAACCAAACTAATCGTTTCCGAAAAAGGAGGTTAATGACAATAAGATGAATATGCAAGTTAAGATAATTATCAAGCTATAACTGAACTGTTTAGATGAATATATTGTTATTTTCATGCATTCCAATGACTTGGGTGTCAAATTTTGGTACACCTCAGTGTATTCAATAGGAAAACATGCATTTCTAAAATTTTGCAAATTTCATTTACATTTGTAACATTTTCGAAGGCATACCTAAACAAAAAACGCGTGTAAATGTAAGTTTAATGTTCACGCTTTTCCCATTTTTTTCTGATTATTATGTAGATATATATTGAAAAGTAACTTCGCTAAAACTTCAAATAACTATATATGTAAAGGTAAAAAAGGATCATTAACACATTGACTATACGTTTTGTAAATTCCGTTAAATCAAGCAAATGATTAAAGTTAAAATATTTGTAAGGAAGAGACCTGCTCTACATTCCCAAAATTGCGTGAATATTTTTATGAATTATTCATGAGTTTGATATAAAAGTACATTTTGTTTGTTCAAATGTTTACCCAATGAAGCCGAAACGTTGGTTCACATGTGCAAAATAAAATCACGCGTCGTTGTTTATTTTCTATATTTTTTAAACTGTAGTTGTCATTGAATCCATCAAAACATTTTGAAACATTTGGAAAAAACTCTTTTATTTGTAAATTTTTGATTTTGATAAGTAACATTTAGTGATGACATTTTATCACTCAATTTAAGTAATTTCATTCACCTGCCCGTGTTTTTTAATAATTTTAAATAATCAAATTTCTTCTTAAAGATTCAACATACTAAAATATTAAGAAGAATCACATTACATTCTCGAAGGTTTATGAAAGTCCCTTTAACTTCGACTTATGAAATTCTACTGTATTTTTCAATTATTTATTTACGAACATAGATTTAAAAATAAATTATGGCCTCGGGCTATAACATTTTTTGCAAATATAACAACGTCTATCAATAAGCAATACAACTTTGTCACCTTTGTAACGGCTGTCACTTCAATAGATTTGTTTTCTGCTAATGTGGGTTTTTCGAAGCTATTCCCGCGATACAACTGTTAAAACTTCACGGTGCACTACCGATGAGAATAGGAAATCAGTTACGCTAAATTTCGAAATTGTAACTGTAAAAAATTGTTTGTACCCCAGAATAAGCTTGGAACACCAAAAGTGCAAATGCCGTCCACGACCTCTAGCACCGGCTTATACTATGGCCCCAGGTAAAAAAATGTGCCCTAAACGAGAAAACAATGGACGGAACTAAATTTAATAAAAATTCTTAAAAGGATCTGAGGATATGATACCTTCACATCACAGACAAGACGTCAAAAGACAAATTTAAAATGCAGGCAAAATTTCCTATTCAAGTAGAAATACTTGGAATTAGCCAAGTAAAAAAGATCAAATACATAAAACTAGAACTATCATAAACATGTTGACACAAAAATATTGTCGTGCTGAACGATCTTCAAGGATCAAAAATATAACACTTTTGATTATATGTAAAAAGCGACTACTTACGGTCTCCACACGGCACAAATATCACTGATGCGGCAATAAAATAGTGAAAACGGAATCCTTAAAAACACGCCGAAAACACGAAATTGAATATATTGCAGGCTCGTTTTGTTTGGGCCTGTTAATGGACTGTTCTGGAAAGTTCAAGTTACGCCCACGTTCCCAGCACTGGCATAAGCAGAATTCAATATTGAAACATAAAGAAATGGTGAAATTTTAAATTTATAAACATCCGCAAATATGTTAATACGGCGGTTTTCAAAGAACCTTCAATGTGACACTTTGGTGCCATTCCTTGAAAAGCGGTGTGTAAAATACACAAAAGTGTATGCTTTGCTGTGTATATATAAGTTAAACAAGATATGTTTGTAAAACATGTATGCCCCCTATTAGCAGCCAATTAGTCATGTGATAAGGTTATTATGCATGACTTCTGACCCAGTGATCAAACAATTAATAAGGGTTATCAAGTATCTACTGGTCATGACCTTAACCTTTGACCCCTTGACCCAAAACTCAATAGGGGTCATCTGCTGGTCACGACCAATCATCATACAAAGTTTGAAGTTCCTAGGCCTAAGCGTTTTTAGTTAATTGATCAGAAACCGTTTTTACCTACAAGGTCAATGTGACCTTGACCTTTAAACACTTGACCCAAAAATCAATAGGTCATCTGCTGGTCATGACCAATCACCATACCAAGATTGAAGTTCCTAGGCCTAAGGGTTCTTTAGTTATTGATCGGAAACCGTTTTAACATACAAGGTCAATGTGACCTTGACCTTTGACCCTAAAATCAATTTGGGGTCATCTGCTGCTCATGACCAATCACCATGCCAAGTTTGAAGTTCCTAGGCCGAAGCGTTCTTTAGTTATTGATCAGAAACCGTTTTTACTTACAATGTCAATGTGACCTTGACCTTTGACCCCTTGATCCCAAAATCAATAGGGGTAATCTGCTGGTCATGACAAATCACCATGCCAAGTTTGAAGTTCCTAGGCCTAAGCGTTCTTAAGTTATTGATCAGAAACCGTTTTTACTTACAAGGTCAATGTGACCTTG